AGCTAATCTTTTCCTCATTTTATATAGAGGAAAAAAAGGCACGCTTACAGGGAACTGGCACAGAAGCTCTGTCTACTGCTCCCTATCTGGGACTCTCCATTGCATCATATCAACCAGGTGCAGCAGGGTTAGCAAGGACACTATCCAAGCCATCGCCGTACACGGGAAGACAGTTTTTTCTAACCTTTATTATTTTTGAATCTGGAAGGAGAGGTAGGTCAGAACGCAGAGTTGGTGGAAGAATGTTACAGAGAAGAAAATGAAGGCGCAGGCAATGAAATTGGTTGGGGATTTGGGAATTTGTGAGAAGTAAAGTGAAATAATATGCAACCGTGCCCACGAAATAGGGCCTATTTCATTTTTCATTATGTATTACAAGAAGATTTCAAGGGGACTAAATTTGCAGAAAGCTTTTGCCTGAAGTTAGAATGATTCTCATATGAGAAACGATTAGGTACTCCATATTCCATTCCTGCTTCACTGTCACATCTAGAGAGGCAGTGGGTGGACGGTGGCAGGCAGTGGGGAATAAGGAGAAACCAGAAGGAAACTGCCATTCTATTAAAGTGACTTAAAGTCATTGAGTATCAAAGAAAGCCTTTGGTAGTAGTGGATGATCAAATTGCCCATCATCGCTCCTCCTCAGAGCCATCTCGCAGGCATCATCCCCTTGTTTACCTAAGTCAGCCTTCTGGAACAGACTTCCGACAGCTTCTGCGCTCCTCCTGTCTCTTTACGATGTTGGCAGCCACTTTGGCCCACGGTCTTCAGAGTTTTCCTTGAGCCTGGCACTTCAGTCATCCTTTGGAAATTGCTCAATTGCTCTGTTCATTCCCGCTGCTGTCTCTTGAATGGCTCCAAGTAGAGCCCTGCTTCAAAGAGCACTCTGATATTTGTAGTCTTGCACTGGATTGGTAATCTTGCAGGTTCCCCTCAGGGGAATTCATATGTCTGTGGGCAAGTGTAGATGGCAATGACATTCACAAGGACATTGACAGCAAACGTGTGAATGCCAGACGCAAGGGGAAGAGCAACCCCTGAAAAAGTAGATAGAGTGAATTTGGGGTGAGAAAGAACAACAATACAAAGGAGGAATGCAAGAGAAGTGTCCTTGTGAAGCAGTGATAAAAGGTGAATGACAGCTGTCCTCTGGCTAGCAGGAAGTGACAAAGGTTGGTGACTCAGTTTGAGTGACAGCTCTGGGTTATGGACAGATTGGTAGGAATTTCCCCAGAAGGCAGGATAAGCCTCTAGGCCCAGCCACTATACATAAGCCACTATTCACTTAGCGATCCACACGAAAAGAATGAATAGTGAGAGCCTTTCAGCTTAATGGAAGTAAACATAAGATAAACACTTTCAGTAACAGTATGTGAAAATATTCAGGACCATAAAACAATAAATCAGGCAGACTGTCTTGCTTTTTATTTTTTTTGACTGTCTAGCTTTTATAGATTCAGCTCTTCTTCATCATCCTTTTCATGATGATGATGGAAATAATAGCAATAACAGTTATTACCATTATTTGATTGTGTTTGGGTGGGTCTCTGTGGAAAGTCCTTCATTCACTCCAATCAGTACTGATTTCCTGCCTATAAAGCACCTTATGCATATTGAACCAGTCGGAGAGTACGACGCAGCCCTTGGCAGGTGCAGTAGGTTGCCGGCCCAAGAACCTGCTCGCTGGTCTCATCTAGCCATGTGCCCGCCTCCGGGGCATGACGTCATTGGCCTACACCAAGCATGGCTTTAGAACTTCTCTCCAGCTGTGATTGGCCTGGGCATGAACCTATGACCACTAAGACTCAAGCTGTTGAGAAATTCTGGCAAAGGTGTTCTTCCCTGATCAAAGGGAGCATGAGAAAGTCCTTCTGCGCCATCCCGCTTCTTCCTGTTTGGAGGCACTTGAGTGGAGATGTGAAGTTTGCAGCCACGATGACCATTCTGTGACTATAAGAGCTGCCGCTGCCAGCTTCCTAGGAGAGGAGAGCAGAGAGATGACAAGAGCTCATCCTTTGTTGGTGTTATGAGGCTTCTCTTCTTGCGGAATTGTCTTCCTCTAGATGTCTTGTTTTATGAAATAAACACCTGTTATCTGAACTACTTTTACTTGGTTATTTCCTTCCTTGCCATGGAAAGCATCCTACCATATACGAGGTGCTATGGTCTGAATGTGTCCCCCTAACATTCATATGTTGGAGCCTCATCCCCAGGATGACGGTATTAGGAGGCGGGGCCTTTGGGAGGTGCTGAGGTCATGACAGTGGAACCTTCATGAATGGGATTGATGCTCTTATGAAAGAGACCAAGGAGAGATCCCTTCCCCATCTGCCATCTGAGGCTGTAGCAAAAAGACCACTGTCTGTGCACTAGCAAGTGAGCCCTCACCAAGATGCATTTGCCAACCCCTCCACCGTGGACTTCCTAGCCTCTAGAACTGTGAGGAAGGGATGTTTGTTGTTGGAACCACCCAGTATAAGGTCTTTTTGTTATAGCAGCCCAAATGGATGAAGACACAGGTATTAGAATAATTTAACGGTCTGCTGCCACAAATGTGAAAACAGTCAAGACAACCATCTGGGGTATATGCCATTATTTTGTACCCGTGTCCCCTGAGGCTGAGCTATCTTTCTGCTCCCTGGCATTTCAATCACTTTAATCATCCGATTCTGTGCGCGCACATCCCAGTTTTACAAATAAAGTCCCTGAAGAGAAAACAAAACCAAATTAAAAGTTTGCTTAAACAAATTGATCCTATAAAGTCCTTTCGGAGTAAAAGCTGATGGAACAAATGTGTTTCTAGCGCTAGGGTGTTCAGGGCTGTTAAACAGGGCAAAAGTCCAAGAAAGGAAGAAAACCTCCAACAAAAGAAGCCCATGTGAGTAATTAGGGACACAGGAAAGGAAGCTCAGATTGCAACTCCAAAGCTGTGCTTTTGTGCCAGTAAGAGCGCTGTCAGAGCAACGGGATGAGTTAATTTCCAGGCCACATTTTACAAACTGGCACCTCTTCAGGTTGCCTTCACCCAAAACCCAGAACAATCAAGCACCACCTCCCGTACAGGGCAGAATGACAAAACAAACTCTTCACTGGCATTTGATGGCTAAGCACAATGCCACGGCAATGACCCAAATGCAAGTTCTACCTGGGATGAAATGCTTAACTAGTTAATTCAACAAACTCCCAGTGGAGGGCACGATACCATGTCCGGAGGAAAGATGCCGTGCTGCAGATGGCATGGGATTCAAAGATAAGACACCCAGCTTATGTGGCTTGGGAGTTTTTATTTCTGACACATGCAAATACCACTCTAGCACAAAATGTAAGGTAGTAAGTTTTACAGGAGAGATATTAGGTCATGTGCTATGGGAGGTACCAGGTGGGAGAGATTCTATCCCACCAAGAGGGTGGGAGATTGGGGTGCCTGGGTGGCTCAGTCAGTTAATCATCCAATTCTAGGTTTTGCCTCAGGTCACGATCTCAGGGTCCTGGGATCGATTCCCATGTTGGGCTCTCTGCTCGGAGGGGAGTCTGCTTGAAGATTCTCTCCCTCTGACCCTCCCCTCACTCCTGTGCTCTCCCTCTCTCTCAAATAAATAAATAAATAAATAAATCTTAAAAAGAAAAAAAAAAGGGGGTAGGAGATTGCTTCATGGAGATGGGGGCTGGCATTTCACGTGAACTTTGAAAGGTGGGTAATATTTGAACCTGAGCAGAGTCAGAGAAAAGGGCAATCCAAGCAGAATAAACCTGCCATTCCAGAAAAGAAGCTCTATTTTAGTTTAGCTGTGGCAATGAAGGCAATGTAGCAGGCATTACCATGAGAAAAATAAGTTAGTGCCAGCTTACGGAGAGCAAAAGACTTGGAAAGGCTGTTATTCTATAGGCAATGGGGAGTTACGGAGTGTTGAAGAAGCTCAAGCCAGCAACAATGGGAGAATGAGTAAAGGTTGGGGAGCCTGGGGTCACATGACCCGTTAAGAAGCTATCATGACATTTCACATACAATATAGTAAAGCCCTTACTAGGGTTATGGAAATGAAAGTGAGGAGGAGGGGGGGCAGTTTGAAACTTAAGTATTTTAAAAATTGAGTTGATAGAATGTGGCAAATGGCCAGTACAAACGGCAGAGGAAAAAGTTCACCCAAGCTTTCCCCTATAAAGTGAGTTTCTGAAAGGACCGAGTACCCTGCCAGCGCACAGGTTTTGTTTTTATTAAAGTCAAACTGTTCTCATGAATGTCTTTCCTGTTAGATGAGTTAACCGAAGCCCCCTGTGATTCCACAGTCTCCAGCAGCCTACACAACAGGCCGCCTTGGAGGATTCCTGGCTCCCTGCCTCTCTCAGGCAAGCTGTCATTGATGAGGCTAACAATCGCGCTGGTCTTGGCGACACTAGATATCCATCCATGGGAACCTGGCCTGGGACCAGCCGGCCTCTCAACTTCCAATACACTTCATTATTAATCCTGGTCAGCTGTAAGGTCCTTTGAAGGCAATCTCATAGAGGACATAAGAGAGCATTTAAAGAAGGGTGTGTGTGTGTGTTTGTGGTCACCTAGGGGATGAAGTCTCAGCTTCTCGGCTGGAAGGACAAGGGATCTCTAGGACTGTTAATAATATTGAGTTAATACTGCGGGGGGTGGGCAGGAAAATCCAGGAGGGGACAGAGTTAGGCTCTGTGAGGTCCTATTCACCAGGAAAGTATTTTTCCAGAGCTTATAGATTTTACTATCCTGGGTTTTAATTTTACTAAAGAGAATGACTTTTCCTTACACAATTCCATCCAATCTGCTCTTTGCTACTACTGTCCCAATATCATTTCCTGCCACGAGCCCATAAACACCCTGAATTCTGGCCACACCGAATCAAGGTCTCCGAACTTGATATGCTAGCTCAGCACCTTAGAGCCTCGCATCTGTTGTTACCTCTACCTGGAATGACCTCCCTTCCTTTGTTGCTTTGTGAGCCAGTAGGAAAATTGCCTCCTTGGTGGCCTGAAGCATGATCTGTGGATTGCCACAGAGTGCTTACCACCTGTGCTGCCACCGACACCTTCACCCTTCTCTGCCCGCTTCAGACTGCTCTTCCCGATGGCTAGGCTGCCCCCTGCGTTATCTCTAGGTCTCTGGCCCAGCCCAGAGATTGTACATGGAAGGGAGGCAGCACAAAAGAATAAAATCTTTGAATCGGCTGATGTTCATCAACAGGTAGTACATTAATATCTTAGTGGGTTCTTTTTCTCTTGACATATCTGTTCCAATTTTTTTAAATCTGTGGCTTTTCTCCTTATTAGAGGTTGACATATCTGGCTCATTCCCCAGCCTTCCTCCAGCCCCTCTGCTGATTTAGATTTCTGCGTGTGTCCTGGTATAGCCCCTTTGTTGGTGAGGAAAAGAAGCCAGTCGAAGAAGATGAAGGAAAAGAAAAGGTTATTATAAGGAGCTGGCTAGGAAACAAACTATGGCCGGCTCCCTGTCAACCAGAACTTGGAACTAGGAAGCCATCTGCTGAGAAACCCTTTACCAGGTGTTTACTGGGTTCCCACCATCAGGTGGAAGGCAAGTCCTGCAGTCTGGGAGCTTGCATTCTAGAGAGTGGGGTGGTGGCCAGTACATAACGTTAACCGGTAACAATTTAGAAGACGGCGTTTGGAAAGCAATAAAAGAGGGCCATGTGATAATGAGAAAGTCGGTGCTGTTTTAGATTGGGTGGTCGGGAAAGTTCTCTTTGGGTGACATTGAGTGAGTAGCTGAAAGACACAAGGGAGGTAGATCCGCGGGAAGAGCATTCCAAGTTAGGGAAGAGCAGGGCTGGGGACTCAGATGGGAATGTACTTGTTTTCATCTTGGTCATGGCAAATCCATTCTCCCTAAACTAGAATCATCTTCCAAAAACTGCTGATTGCTAATTGCTCATTTGTGGTGGCAGTGCCTGTGTGAGGCTTTGGGGTGGGTTTTTCAGACTCTCTCCTTGTTGGGCAATTTGATACACCTCTGGGAAATCTGAAGTATGCCCAGTTGGAGGATTTGGTTTTGTGAATGGTCTGGAGGCAGGAGCATTGAGACCCACACCTGTGGCCCAATGATTTGGGAGTCAGCACCAGCTTTGCTCTTCGTGTGGTCTTGATCTTGTGCCCAGTTCTAATAACTGTGCTCTTCCTCTCCCCAGCCTCCCTACATCTATCCTCATTTCCTCAGCCAAGCACTTAGCTGCACTGCCATTATTATGACTATGATCGTGTTGACTAGAGCTGTTGTTCTGCCCCCTAGAAGAGGAGCTGCATCTGCCTCTGTTGAAATCTTCCCTGTGCTCTGCCTCAGGTTGCCTGACTTTGCCAATGAAAACGCAGGGTGTCTAGTTAAATTTGGATTTCAGAAATGCACAAAGAACACATTTTAGTATCCGTATGTCCCAAATATTGCTCATCTGTATTTTATCTGGCAACTCTAACCTGCTCTTTGCCTAGAGTCCTCTCTAACCCGCTAAAGAGCTTGTTCAAGATCTCTCTGCCACATCTGGCTACAGTTAACAAGCCTGCATCTGGTTATTTTCGGTGATCTCTGCCAATTTAGCAAAGCAAGGTATGCTCTCAAAGTGATGGTGAGGCGTCCGTGGAAATGGCGCCACGTGTCCTTCCTTTGACATGTTGCGTAGCTCAGCCACAAGGAGTCTGTCTGGTCATAACACCCTTGGCTTGCCTTTGATGGGGTCAAATTCCTCATTTATAATGTTCAAAAGATCTAGTCACAAAGAGGGCCTTTAAAATAATTTTACTATTAGAATGATGTGTACGATGCATAGTTTCCCTTTGATACCTCTTCTAGGCTCTCGCTCCAATGGTATTATGGCATTAGAGTCACAGAGAACCTTTGATCAATGAGCTTTACTAAATGATCTAATTCAAACTTATGAAATCCATTACTGGGGACAAGGGCAGGCTTCAATACCCTCATTTTATAGATGAGGAAACTAGAAACAAATCATTTCCATTTTGCTAAGAGCTAATTTGCAGCTGTGTCAGGGATCAATAAGTAAATGAACTATGAATTCAAAACAGATAATATTGGATCTGATTGATATGCTGACACATTTTTTTTTTTTTTTTTGGCACCGAAACAAGACAAGCTGAGTGTGGAGAAGGTCTGATGCCAGAGACTCCTGAAAAGACATGTGAGCCTCTACTTCAGGACTCAAGAAAAGGAAGCAACATCTGTACACCATCTCCATGAATACAGAATTTTTGAACAAAGCTGGGAGTTCACTTATTTCAAACAAAATTTATTTAAACCAGATCAAAAAGGACAGCAAAAGTTTAATGTGATTTGATCAATATCAAGTTATACTTTTGGCAGAGATATTATGTTGGATCTCTCCATAGGGAGCTCTTGGCAAAGAACTGTGATGTATTCGTGTCTCTAATTTTGTTTACCTGCCATTTTCCCCATTGGCAAATAATCTGTATATATTTTTCAATGAACTTGCACAATAAACGCGAGGGGATAATAACTGATGTCTAAGACAGTGCTTCTCAATCCCATCTCCTTTTGGCTGTGTTCTTTGGAATTCTTAGCGGATGTTTCTTTAATTAGCAACAACTTTCTCATGCTGGTATTATGTCCGTGAGCCCAGTGGTTGAATATATCGCCACTACCAACATTGACAATATTTTTCACAATACCTGGTTAAGTAGCAATGAATTTCAAAATTCATCTTATCTCTGTGGAATGAATTGCAGGGAGAAGTTAGTCTCCTTCAGTTCTATAAGCAGTTATGGAAGTGTTTGGCACTGATAAGAAGGCTGGATGTCTTTTTATTTCTTTACTTTCTGAAGCCATTAGGGTAGTCTAAAATCTTTGGCAACCAACACGTACAAGGGCCTCATTTCAAGTTAGGTGAAATGCTTGCGATTTGGCTGCATCTTTTATTTCTCTAAGAGATTCACTATGATGGAGGAATTGACAATGTAAATTGGGCATCTCCTGGAGCCTTTGAAACAAATATGACTTAATGGCTCCTGTATGGCCACAGGTGTTTTTTTAATTCAAGGCACCAATACACCTTCTTTGAGCAAGGATATTCATACTGCTCAGGAGCAGTGTATAAAGGAGTGCAAATATGTCAATATTTGCCTTTTAGAGCAGATTTGTCTGCTGTCCTGGTGGGGCTATTGGAAGAAAGGAATTTGTGAGTTCTGGATTTTTCAGCTTCTATAGACTTGACAGGGTGTTTGTTTTTCTTTCTTTCTTTCTTTTTTTAACTCTCTGAATGGTTAGAGCCAATCAAATTTTAAAACTATTCAAGAAGAAGACTAATTTTAAGGCATAGACAACAGAAGCATTTTTTTCTACGTGTTTTGAATGCATTCATATCACCTCATTAAACAATGTCAGAACAGGCCCAGAAGGCAGGGGCTGAAGAGTAGTGGCTTAATGAGGTTGTAATGAGGACACATTGAAATTTGCTTTTTCTCTCTGCCTATTCCAAAACCCATGGCTTAATGTAATAAAACATGTTTGAGCTCAAGCTCTCAAATAATTTAAAGATATTTCTTAGTGTGTGGTTAAAGAGTCTAGTCATTCTCCTACTAAACACCTACATGACCTTGTACCCAGTGTGTAATGAATATTACTCTTATTATGACTTATAACTGAGAAAGAAGGACTTGGGAAGACAGATTCCAAATTATTAGAACAGGAATATTGTTATACAAATGTTTCATGAGTGATATCTTATTTATTTTACACATCAGGAATTTGATGATCATAAACAGAATATAAACCACTTGAGGATATTTGTTATATTTTGTTAAACCTGGAATTTTTAATATTTATTAAAATGATCATGGAATGCTGATCTGGTCATTGAAACTTCTTACTTATTTTGCTAACTTAAAATAGATTAAAATATCTCTTTGATTTTGATAGTAATTTTATAACCAGTTCTGGGTTGAGGAGAATTAAATTTTGATGGCTCAGCCACAGTTCCAATCAGCTTATTTAAAGGAAGATGAAAGATTTGTTATAAATATAGACTAACCTGAATTGAAGGTTAATAGAATAGGTATAACAGAGCTATAGCATCAGAAAACAGCGTAGAGGCAAAGTATAAGGAAAAAAACTAAAATTTACTCAGCATTTATATGATCAGGCATTATAATTAAAGTCTTTCATGCACTTATTTATTGCATTCTTATAACAACTCAGTGAGGTAAGTACCATTATTACCTCCATGTTACAGATATGGAAACCGAAGACTGGATGTATCAAACTGCTTGCTCATGTCACGTAGCTGATAAGCAGCAGAGCTAGGATTCAGGCCCGGGTCATCTAGCTTTACTGTCTGCGGTAAAGTTTTTATAAAATATAAACAAATGAGCTAATGTCAGTATATAACTTTTTTTTTCTAATAAGTTGACATTATATAACATAAAATGTTATATTACGGCATATCTATGGGTTGGGAAGCACTAGTGAGGTAATTATGTTTTGTTTTAACTGAAAATTAAGAAGAACAGTTAACTTTGGCCTTTTTTTTTTTTTTAAGATTTTATCTATTTATTTATGAGAGACACAGAGAGAGAGGCAGAGACATAGGCAGAGGGAGAAGCAGGCTTACTGCGGGGAGCCTGATGCGGGACTCAAACCCAGGGCCCTGGGATCATGACCTGAGCCAAAGGCAGGTGCTCAACCACTGAGCCACTCAGGTGCCCCAACTTTGGACTTTTTGATGCTATTTTAGCAGAAACACTCATTCTAAAACAGAACTAGCCAATATGCCACATACTTAATCTTTAACCTTCTAGGAACCATGTTATAGTGAAAAGAAACAAATGTAATAATTTGAATAATAGATTTTATTTAAACCAACATATTAAAACCATTATAATACATACTATAAATACTCTTAATGAGATATTTTGGGGTTATTGTTCCAACTCTGTGAAATCTGGTGTGTATTTTGTGCCTACTGAATATGTCAACTTGGACTCGCCCCATTTTAAGCGCTCAACAGCCTCATGTGGCTTCTAGTGGCCCCTGAATTGGATCATGCAGCTCTGGAAAATCTTTTTAGGAAAGTAAGTTTATCATTTAACAGATTTCAGAAAGGCTGAGAATTAGAAAGGCTAGTCAGGCATCCACAGAAACGTTTTTCAGCTTGAGTACCTTCATTTCTTACTTAACTACATTGGATTAATGGCTGCCACAGAACCTGTTCAAATGATATATATCTGCTGGCAGGTAAGGTGACAAATTTTAGAAGGATGGTTTCCTGACAATTTTGTCATTTTGTCTAAAAGCTAGAATAGAGCAGACCTTAAGATAAAACTAAATCTCCTTGAGGAAAGTGAATGTCTGTCTGTAAGAATAACTCATAGAATAAGGCATAACCAGGTCACTAAGGAATTCACACATTGGAGGCCCAATATGGGCTTTTTCAAGCTTTTGGCATCTGAGGGCAGGGCTGGCCAACTTAGTAGGCCTTCACTGTTCTGTATTCTGTTCCCAGCCAAGCAGTAATGTATCCGTCAACAAGCATTTAGCAGGGCTCTTTTTTTAAATCTTCATTGAAAAATTGCTAATACCTGTTCATCAAGAAAAAAAAGAATAAAAACCAAACAGACCAAATAATTCTGAGCTGTATGTAGTAACAAGTAAGAGTTACTTCAGTTCTTACCCCAGTTTCAGGGCTAACCACTGTTAATAATTAGGTATGTATTCTTCTAGATCTTTATCCATATGACCAAGTTTATGTGTCTACCTATTTATCTATCTAGAAAATCTCTTGTGCAGAAATGGATCACCCCATATACATTGTTTTGCAGCCCCTCTTTCTAAAATAAGAAACCAGTATCTTTCTATGTATCATATATATATATATATATATATATATTTAAAGATTTTGTTTATTTATTCATGAGACACACACACATACACACACAGAGCCAGAGACAGAGGCAGAGGGAGAAGCAGGCTCCTTGCGGGGACCTTGATGTGGGACTCGATCCCAGGACCCTGAGATCACGACCTGAGCCAAAGGCAGTTGCTCAACTACTGAGCCACCCAGGCGCCCCTATATTTTATTATTTGTAATGGCTGTGTAGTATTATATGGTATAAATGTGCCAAAGTTATTTAGCAATGTGACTATTGATGGATATCAATAGCTGTTTCAAATTTCTATTACAAAACTGCTGCATGGCACATCCCTGTCCATCTGTAATTACACACTTGTGTATTTGTGCACAACAGCTTTCCAAGAATTGAGATCACAAGGTGAAAGGTATGTACATCTTAAATTTTTTTTTCTTAAGGAATTTATTTTTCAGTGAGAGAGAGAGAGGGAGAGGAGGGCTGTGGGGTGGGGAGGGACAAGCCGACTCCACATTGAGCTCAGAGCCTGTCTTGGGGCTTGATCTTACGACCCTGAGATCATGACCCTAAGATCACAACCTGAGTGGAAACCAAGAGTCCCACGTGCAACCGACTGAGCCACCCTGGCACCCCTGTGCATTAAATTTTGACAAATACTGCCAAACTGCTTAACAGTCTGTCGGGAAGACCTTGTCTCTTGACTTCATCTGGAAGTACCAATGTTCCTGTTACAGGAAACTGGCCAGCCTTCCTGAGGAGCAAGCTGTTTCTATTCTCCATCATAAAATGGATGTTATATTTTCCTTGATTAATATGTAGGGCTTCTGTTGGTAATAACAGTGTTCTGCTTTATGGCTTACAGGTAGCGAACCCAGAAAATGTCAGTTCCCGGGGCTTTTTTTTTTTTTTTTTTTTAAGTTATTGACATTCCTTTGGTGATTCACAAATGCCAGAAAATAAATGCCATGCTCCCCAGGGTCTACACGAAGACACTGTGGGTTCTGGATTCTGTAGCTCATCTTTCAAGAAGACCTAGGATGGGGTGATGACTCACTCACCCCACGGTAGCTGTCCTGTAGCTCTGTCCTTTAGAGGCAGCTTGACGGTGGGTCTGCTAGTATTTTTCCTCCCTCTCCAAGAATTTCCTTAAGAAGGGACGCCTAGCCGTGTGCCAAGGTCAGCCTCACCACTCTCTTCTGGGAAGGGCCGTGCACGGTCTGTAGCGCCTGGCAGGCTGCTGGCACAGAGTAGGCTCGCTCACGGGAGATGCAGAGCAGCGGCAGCCGCGGGGATTCACAGCGCAGCCTGAAAGTTGAGTTTTACCTTGTAGGGCTACAAGTGCATCCTGTTGTTTATCATATAAACACAAAGCCCCCCTCCTCCACCCCCCCACCCAGTCTCTCCTACTGGTGCCCCTCGTGGGACCGTGGGGCCGGGGCGTGGTTTGGCCGGAGGGAAAGCAGACCCAGGTGGAGCGACGACGCTGGGGAGAGGAGGAGGAGGAGGAGGAGGAGCAGGAGGAGGGGAGGAGGAGGAGGGCCAGGAGGAAGAGGAGGAGGGCCAGGAGGAGGAGGGGGAGGGGGAGCAGGAGGAGGAGGAGGAGGAGGAGGAGGGGAGGAGGAGGAGGAGGAGGAGCAGGAGGAGGAGGGGAGGAGGAGGAGGGCCAGGAGAAGGAGGAGGAGGAGGAGGAGGGGGAGGGCCCGAAGGAGGAGGAGGTATGGTGTCCCTTGGCAGTCCCTTGGCAGCCCCTTGGTGCGCGCTGCGGCAGTGGCAACGGGAGCATGGGGTACCAGTTGCTCAACACTTTATCAGTTTGCACCGCTCTTTCTTCTCTCTCCGGTGAATTTCCATTTTGAGGGAACAGCTCCGTAGAGGAAAGGTGTGGTGGGGTGGGGGTGGGGTGGGGGGTGCTGGAAGGTCCAGGGCGGGAAATCCAGGGCGGGGCGGGGGGTGCCTGCCGGGGTGGAAATAAGAACTGGCTCCGGCTCGCGGCCCGGCCGCTACCCCCTGCTGGGGCGAGCCCGACGCGCGGGTGCGGAGCCGGCGAGGGGGCGTGTGTGCGGCCGCTCCTCCGGGGGGGGGGCTGGTCCCCTCGGAGCCCCGGACTGCCGTGGCCGCCCCGCGCGCCCGCGCCCCTGCGCACCGGAGAGTGGGGGTCCCCGCCCCGCCCCCCGCCCGCCGGGCCCCCTGCGGTTGCCATGGTGACGCAGGGCCGGCGGCTCCGCGCAGTGGAAACAAAGCGGCCCGCCCGCTCCCGGGCCGCGCTCCTCCTCCGCGGCGCCTCCCTCCTCCCTCGCTCCCTCCCTCGCTCCGTCCCTCCGGGTCCCGCCGCCGCCGCCGCCGCCGCCGCCGCCGCCGCCGCCGCCCCGGGCCAGGTAAGGCGAGCGCGCCTGCGGCCGGGGAGGGCTGGGGGCCGCGCCCCCGACGCCCCGGGGCCTCCCCCGCGCCTCCCGCGCCTCCCGCTCCCCGACGGCCGCCGAGCATCCCGGGCGCTGCGCGGGATTGCGCCCCCGGGGACCGCGGCGTTTGCTGCCCTTGGGACGCGCCTGCCTCCCAGCCGGTCCTGTTTGAGGACGGGGCGGGGTGGGGAGGCTCGCAGGGGCAAGAAGCCACACATTTCTTTTTCTTTTTTGCAGTTTCTGGAAAGTGAGCCCAGACTTCGGGTGCCCCCGAAGTTCATTTGGATTTCGAGCACAGCCGCCTTTGTGGAAGGTGCGGTTACACCTGTAAGGGGACGGGGAGGGGAGCCCGCGTTTCCCCTCCAAGCAGCGACCCGAGTCGGTGCAGCAGCAGGACCGTGGGGGTAGGTGCTCGGCGCGGGCGTCCTTGCTGCCGCTTCTGGGAGGTGTGTTCGTGCGTGAAGGGGCTGCAGCGCGCCCGGCGTTGTCTGTGTGAGGACGTGGTCCGGAGCCCCCCTGGAGGCAGGTAGCCCGGCGGTGTTTGCACCTGCGTTCGGAGGGCAGGGAGAGGGTTAAGATGCTGTTGCCAAGGGCGTGTGGGCCCGGGGGGCGGGGGGGGGGGGGATGTGCCCAAGTTAGGGTCCATCGCTGCTGTTCTCAACGGGCCCCACGCCTTGCTGATCCTTTCGTGATACTTAGTTTGCTGCAGACACAAAGAATGAATTAAAGATAACGATTGTCGAGACTGTCTGGTGGCTACTTAGATATACCATCTTGGGTGTGATAATGTGAAAGACGGCAGTATTCACTTTCAGAAGCAGAGGTTTAGCAATCCGGAAGGAAGTAGTACATCAGTGTCACTTACTTTAATTGGGGAGAGAGGTCGGCTGGCAACTGGAAAATGATTCCACTGATTGTATTCACAATTTAGCAAAATAATACACAAGTTGGAATAGGTCAGCCAGACAACATTACATGGAATGCAAGAAATGATGCTTGCTAAAAGGTAGTTCGTGGGAAAAAAAAACAACAACAAACAAACCAATGGCATGGATCATTTTGAATTGGAGTTAAGTTGATTAGAATTATGGCTATTAAAGCTACTTAAGGTGCCAGGCATGAAGTGATTATCTAATATACCTCTTCTCTCTCTCTCTCTTTTTTTTTTTTTTTTTTTTTTACCTCTTCTCTCTTTTGGGATTTCAACACCTGTTAGCCGGCTGATTACTAGGTTTCTAAGTCAGTTTGTATTTGCCGGCAATTTTAAGTAATGCTACTTCGTGAGAAGATTGTACTGAGAACTAAAGGATTAAGTTGCAACAACATTTTGCGGATTATTTCACAATTGGGTTTGTTTCTAAACTGATTTTACCTGTACAGCCATTCACAGATGCTCTGTTAAATACTCTTTGATGGTGGTAATGAATGGTACATTGATTAAAATGAAGTAGATCTGCTTTGAGAAGGTAACCAGGAGAGAAAATAAATATTTTCTCATTTAAGCATGAAAGACAATCAGAATATTGAAGCCTAGGCATAGAATGTAGTTTCATGTCTTGTAGTAGAAATAATTATTTTTGGGCTCGGAGGTATCAAGAATACAGCTTTATTCAAATATTTGTTAGCAAATCCAGTATTAGGTGCAAGGACTCTGGACCTGCTCTTCAGCCAGATGGAACCCTCCCTATGGGTTCTAGCCCAAACATTTACATTGTGGAATTTGTATTTCTGAAGAGTGGAGTTGTCCAGTGTTAATTCAGCACAATAAGGACTCAGGTGTTGCCTTTGCTAAAGGCACAAGGTTCAATAGAGTGTGGCATTTTTAAAGCTGTCTCTTTTTCTGCCAAGAAATAAAGTCAGTAAACATCAGGAATACACAGTCATGGACTGCAGGCATCGGTTTGTAGTGATTTATTTACACAAGCTCTCAAGCATGAAATGGAGCTTTTATCAGTGCAGTAAAGAACAATCATTTGGCATGTTCATATATGTTGCTGGCTTTTGGAGGTATGTGCATACCAGGATAATAAAAGAAAAAAAAATAACTCATTTCCTCAGTATCTTAGGAAGTGCAAAGGAAGAGTGTGCTTTATGGCCTTGATTTGGATTAGCCACCTGGTGGAAGTAGAGACCAGCACGGCACATCCTCAGCTGTAAAAAATCCTAAATTGTCACTCTCGATTTTTCACAGTAGTGTGAGTCTTCTGCAATTCTAGGCTTAAAACTCTTAATTTTATAAGGGAACACTGGTCCTAGTTTTGGGGATAAGTTGTAAAAAAATGGTCTGATAATTGTAATCACAGCCATTATTGTCCCTGGAAAATTCTGCAACTTCACTTAATCAAGCCGGTCCACGATTGTGAAACAAGCCACGAAAGGTTCTCGGTTAAGTTAGGATTAACATTTATATTTGTGCCATTGAAAGTCGGTTGTTTTGTAACCATCTGAGCCTGCCTGGCAGCATAAGGCCACTGAAGCCTTTACTGGCGGTTTCTGGGTCAGCGTTCTCTTGCAGTTTCTAGTTGCCCTGTGCTAACATGCTGCCTGGTTGGTAATTTGGCATCAAGTACCATGTGTTGTGGCATTTATAGAAGTACATTTGTGAAGGATGATAGTTTTTTTTTCCTTTTAATGATTTCTCCATTTTCAAAACATGTAGGCTCAAACCTGTGGCTAGGGAGAGAGTAATATGGCCCCTGAGACCTGGAGGAAAAATGGCATAAATAGAAGGTTAAGTGACCTGCTGTGCAGGGTGGGTGGCTGTTGATCATAATGATGGCGCTGACACAAGACATAGGGGACAGCATGGCACTGGTCACAGGAAGTGGTTTTCTTGTGACATGGATTATTAATAGTGACTGATGGAGATTGAGAAATGTTTGGGCATATGTTTCATTTTTTGTGCTCCCAGTGAATATGAAGATGTCTTCACCATTTTATAAATCACAAGTGGTTGGGGAAAATATATACATTTATACTGTCTGGCACTTGATGGGAGTGTTATAAATACAATTCAAAGTTAATGATTGATTTCCTTACCTGTCAGTTATTGGTAACGATTCAGTTTTGGATATCAGGCAACAAATGTGTATCAGGTGTTTCCTTCTGTATATTCTGAATTGCTTGATCAAAGTCTCATCTGAGATCTTAGGGTGAGGAATTACTTGTTTCCAACTATCATGATTATTTCTCTCATCTATAAATCGTTATATGTGAAATCCAGGTATTCTCCATTGGCCTGGTTTTTAGCCTTCTCTTTTCTTATGGGGAAAGTTAATTCCTTAATCTTCTTAAATAATTTTATATCTCCAGGGCTTTAAAAAAATATGATTTGGGGGATCCCTGGGTGGCGCAGCGGTTTAGCGCCTGCCTTTGGCTCAGGGCACGATCCTGGAGACCCGGGATCGAATCCCACGTCGGGCTCCCGGTGCATGGAGCCTGCTTCTCCCTCTGCCTATGTCTCTGCCTCTCTGTGTGTGACTATCACAAATAAATAAAAATTAAAAAAAATATGATTTGGTTAATTTGTTATTCAACCAGAAGAATATCTGAAACTTTGTTTATAGTGGTGTGCATTAAAAAAAATAGCGCATGTTATAATCTCACATTTTGGACGTTTACAGAGTTGTAAGGTGATTAGGAAAATTTCGGATCCTGTAGGGTGATGAATTGTACAAGTGTCTTACATTAGATCTCCTGCTTCTCTACCTTGTAATAAGTTGAAGTGAAAACCAAAGAACCATGAGGTGGAGTCTTCAGGGAGTTAAAAGATGTTAAAAAGGGAGTTTAGTACATGCTGAAAGGCTGTAGGGCTAGATGGTCCCAAGGATAGGAAGGAAAAAGACTCTGATGACCTTAATAAGGTCTTAATCACTTTATGGTCCAAACTCCGGAAGCAGTCACCAGAGGGCTGTTTCCATGCTTTTCAGAGGGCCGGTCCTGGTCACTTACCCCCACCTTTTCTCCTGACTAACCTAAAAGTGACTCCCTTGAAGTGTGGCTAAGCGCACTCTGAATATTATAAACCACAAATTAAGGTATGAGCGCAAAGGTTTGCTGCCTGGGTGTATTATGTAATCTAATTGGTCAGGGTAGACCAGTTAGATAATCAAGACAGTAATGGAACTAATATATTGGTTGTATTTACATGAAAAACTGTGTTTCTAAGGATCAGTCCTCCTTCCCTTTCTTTTATTTTTCATGAGAGACACACAGAGAGAGGCAGAGACATAGGCAGAGGGAGAAGCAGGCTCCCCACGGGGAGCCCGATGTGGGACTCAACCCCAGGCCCCCGGGATCACGACCTGAGCCAAAGGCAGGTGCTCTACCACTGAGCCACCCAGGTGCCCCGAACCTTCTTCCCTTTCTTATAACCATAGTCATTGAATGGAGATGTAGCATTTTACACAATTTCATCGCCCTGTGACATGTCAGGCATAATTACATTGAAGAACAGATGCTTACTCAAACTCTTGAATTGTAAATCTACAATAAAAGGTTTGTGTGTGTTCTTCTCTGGCATTTCCTCTTGTTACATATGGTTTCTTCAGACCTTGTGTAGTATGATTGCAGTTTTATCTTTTTTTTTTTTTTTTGTCAATCAATCAAACCCTCTCTAGTGCTTCGTACGAGCCAGTTTTGTTCTATGCATGGCACAACTAGTAGCTTATTTAAACCTCCCGAGAACCGTATGGGGTGGGTACTTTGGTGAGCTCCAATTGAAGATGGAGAAAACTGATGTGATCGTTCTCTGTTGTATTGACCTAAAGGTCTACAAAACATACCAGGATCCTAGTGTTTTTTATGTGAAGGAATACAGGAAGCTTTGCTTTTTTTCATGTCACTGATGTGTATGTGTGTATGTTTGTTGGAAGTGTGGAAATAATGGCACTTATTGTTAATGGCATGTGGGCTTTTTTTTCTCATTTTAATGATAAGAAACAAAGCCCAAAATCATAAAACAAGCATTTCTTCATAGCATATTGTGACATGCACCAGTGTTCTTTTCTGTATATAGAGACTAGGGAGCGCCTGACTGGCTCAGTTGGTAGGGCATGTGATTCTTGATCTCTAAGTTGTGAGTTCTGGCCCCATATTGGGTGGAGAGATGACTTAAAAATAAATCTTTAAAAAAAAAAAAACAAGAACTAGAACAGATTGATTTACAAAAAAAGCTACTTTCTGAAGATATTTGTTCTTTCACTTATTATTTGTATTCAATATTAAAAAGAATACATATTTTTGATGGTGTTAGCTTGCTATATACATGTAAATATGTCTTTTGAATGTTTGTCTATTTTGCATTGCCTTTTGTGGGCTATCCTTAATCTGGGCTCACCTGTCCTTAGCTAACTTCTTGCCCTAAGGGCTAAATGATACTCCTTTTTTTTTTTTTTTTTTTTTT